GCTATTTCGCTCTCGCTGTCTCTCTCGCTATTTCGCTCTCGCTGTCTCTCTCGCTATTTCGCTTTCTCTCTCGCTATCTCTCTCGCTATTTCGCTTTCTGTCTCGCTATCTCTCTCACTTTCGCTATCTCTCTCTCTCTCGCTCGCGCTCTGTCTCTCTCGCTCTCTCTCTTGCTATCTCGCTCTCCCTCGCTATCTCGCTCTCTCTCGCTATCTCGCTATCTCTCTCGCTATCTCTTGCTATCTCTCTCGCTATCTCTCTCTCTCGCTGACTCTCTCTCGCTGACTCCCTCGCTCTCTCCCTCGCTCTCTCTCTTGCGATCTCTCTCTTGCGATCTCTCTCTCTTGCGATCTCTCTGTCTCACGATCTCTCTGCCTCTCGCTATCTCGCTCTCCCTCACTGTCTCCCTCGCTACCTCTGTCTCTCTCGCTATCGCTCTCGCTATCTCTCTCGCTCTCGCGCGCTCTCACTATCTCTGTCACTATCTCTTGCTATCTCTCTCTTTCGCTATCTCTAGCTTTCTCTCTCTCCTCTCTCTCTCGCTGTCTTTTTCGCTGTCTCTCTCTCGCTGACTCTCTCTCGCTACCTCTCTCTCTCTCGCTATCTATCTCACTATCTCTCGTACCTGTCTCTCTCTCGCTATCTATCTCTCGCTCTCTCTCTCGTGCTCTCTCGCTCTCGCTCTCTCTCGCTATCTCTCTTGCTATCTCTCTCGCTTGCTGTCTCTCTCTCTCACTGTCTCTCTCTCTCCCGCTATCTTTCGCTGTCGCTCTCGCTGTCTCTCTCGCTCTCGTTGTCTCTCGCTCGCTCACTCTCACTATCTTTCTCTCTCGCTGTCTCTCTCTGTCTCTCTCGCTGTCTCTGTCTCTCTCTCGCTGTCTCTGTCTCTCTCGCTGTCTCTGTCTCTCGCTCGCTGTCTCCCTCTCTCTCTCTCTCGCTGTCTCTCTCTCTCGCTATCTTTCTCTCTCTCTCTCGCTGTCTCTGTCTCGCTGTCTCTCACTGTCTCTCTATCTCTCTCACTCTCACTTGCTGTCTCTCTCTCTCGCTATCTTTTGCTGTCTCTCTCTCTCGCTGTCTCGCTGTCTCTCTCTCTCACTCGCTGTCTCTCTCTCTCTCGCTCGCTGTCTCTCTCAATCTCTCGCTATCTTTCTTTCTCTCTCTCTTCCTGTCTCTGTCTCTCTCTCTCTCTCGCTGTCTCTGTCTCGCTGTCTCCCTCTCGCTGTCTCTCACTGTCTCTCTCTCTATCTCTCTCACTCTCTCAATCTCTCGCTGTCTCTCTCTCTCGCTGTCTCTCTCGCTCTCGCGCTCTCTCGCTATCTCTCTTGCTCTCTCTCTCTCGCTATCTTTCGCTGTCTCTCTCGCTCTCGTCTCTCGCTCGCTCACTCTCACTATCTTTCTCTCTCGCTGTCTCTCTCTGTCTCTCTCTGTCTCTGTCTCGCTGTCTCTCTCTCTCGCTGTCTTTCGCTGTCTCTCTGTCTCTCTCGCTGTCTCTCTCTCTCGCTGTCTCTCGCTATCTTTCGCTGTCTCTCTCGCTCGCTGTCTCTCTCTCTCTCGCTGTCTCTCTTTCTCGCTGTCTCTCTCTCGTCTCTCGCTCGCTCTGTCGCTCGCTCTCTCTCACTGTCTCTCTCTCTCTCGCTGTCTCTCTCTCTGTCTCTCTGTCTTGCTGTCTCTCTCGCTCGCTGTCTGTCTCTCTTTCTCGCTGTCTCTGACTCTCTCGCTGTCTCTCTCTCTCTCTCGCTGTCTCTTGCTATCTCTCTCTATCTCGCTATCTTTCGCTGTCTCTCTCGCTCGCAATCTCTCTCTCGCTCACTATCTTCTCTCTCGCTGTCTCTGACTCTCTCGCTGTCTCTGACTGTCTCGCTGTCTGTCTCTCTCGCTGTCTCTCTCTCGCTCGCTGTCTCTCTCGCTGTCTCTCTGTCTCGCTGGCTGTCTCTCGCTCGCTATCTCTCTCGCTATGTTCTCTCTCTCTCTCTCGCTGTCTCTGACTCTCTCTCTGTCTCGCTATCTTTCTCTCGCTGTCTCTCTTTCTCGCTGTCTCTGACTCTCTCGCTCTCTCGCTGTCTCTCTCTCTCGCTGTCTCTCTCTCTCGCTCTCTCTCGCTCTCGCTGTCTCTCTCTCGCTCTCGCTATCTCTCTCTCGCTATCTCTCTCTCTCTCTCGCTATCTCTCTCGCTATCTCTCTTGCTCTCTTGCTATATCTCTCTCTCGCTCTCACTCTCTCTCTCTCTCGCTATCTCGCTATCTTTCTTGCTCTCTCGCTATCTTTCGCTGTCTCTCGCTATCTTTCGCTGTCTCTCGCTATC